TCAACCAATCCAGAAGCTGGTTCTTTGAAAAGATTAATAAAGTTGACAAGCCTTTAAGCAGACTCATCAAAAAAAAAAGGGAGAGGACCCAAATTAATAATATCAGAAATGAAAGAGGAGAAATAACAACTGATACCACAGAAATACAAATGATCATCAGAAACTATTATGAACAATTATATGCCAAGAAATTTGAAAATCTTGATGAAATGGACAAATTTTTAGAAAAGTATAATCTTCCAACACTGAAGGAGGAAGAAACAGAAAGCTTGAACAGACCACTAACAGCTGGGGAAATTGAAGCAGTCATCAAGAAACTCCCAGCACACAAAAGCCCAGGGCCAGACGGTTTCCCAGGAAAATTTTACAAAACATTTAAGGAAGAGCTAACCCCTGTCCTTCTCAGACTATTCCAAATAATCCAAGAGGAGGGAAGACTCCCAGACTCCTTCTATGAGGCCAGCATCACCCTGATCCCAAAACCAGATAAAGACCCTACAAAGAAAGAAAATGACAGGCCAATTTCGCTGATGAACATAGATGCTAAAATCCTGAACAAAATATTGGCAAACTGCATCCAGCAATACATTCAAAAGATTATCCATCACGATCAAGTGGGATTCATCCCAGGGATGCAGGGATGGTTCAATATACACAAATCAGTAAACATGATACATCACATAAATAAAAGAAAAGACAAAAACCACATGATCATCTCGATCGATGCAGAAAAAGCATTTGACAAGGTACAGCACCCATTTATGATCAAAACACTCAGCAAAATGGGAATAAATGGGGCATTCCTCAACGTAATAAAGGCCATATATGAAAAACCTATAGCCAATATCATACTCAATGGGCAAAAACTGAAAGCTTTCCCACTAAGATAGGGAACACGACAAGGATGTCCGCTCTCACCACTTCTTTTCAACATCATATTGGAAGTCCTAGCCACAGTGGTCAGACAAGAGAAAGAGACAAAAGGCATCCAAATAGGAAAGGAGGAAGTAAAACTATCATTGTTTGCAGATGACATGATAGTGTACATAGAGAACCCTGTAGACTCTACCAAAAAACTCCTCAACCTAATAACTGAATTTGGCAAAACAGCAGGATACAAAGTCAACATTCAGAAATCAAAGGCGTTTTTGTACACCAGCAATGCAATAGAAGAAGAAGAAATCAGAAAAAATATACCATTCGATATACCATGAAAAAAGATAAAGTACCTAGGGATAAATTTAACCAAAGACACAAAAGACTTGTAAGCAGAAAACTATACAACATTGAAAAAAGAAATTAAGGAAGACACAAATAAATGGAAGCATATACTGTGCTCATGGATTGGAAGAATTAATATCCTCAAAATGTCCATACTACCAAAAGCAATTTATAGATTCAACGCAATCCCTATTAAGATACCAATGACGTATTTCACAGAAATAGAACAGACATTTCAAAAATTTATATGGAACCATAAACGACCCTGAATACCCGCAGCAATTTTGAGAAAGAAACACAAAGTAGGAGGGATCACAATACCGGACATCAAACTCTACTACAAAGCCACCATACTCAAAACAATCTGGTACTGGCACAAGAACTGACCCATAGACCAGTGGAACAGAATAGAAAGCCCAGAAATAAACCCAGGTCTCTATGGACATCTAATATTCGACAAAGGGGGCAGAAGCATAAAATGGAGCAATAACAGCCTCTTCAACAAATGGTGTTGGGAGAGCTGGACGGCTACATGCAAAAAATTGAAATTGGATCATCAGCTGACACCATACACAAAAATAAACTCAAGATGGATAAAAGACTTAAATATAAGTCGCAACACCATCAAAGTCCTCGAGGAGAACATTGGCAGGAAACTCTCAGATATCCCATGCAGCAATTTTTTCACTGATATGTCTCCTAAAGCAAGGGACATAAAGGAAAGAATAAACAAGTGGGACCTCATCAAAATAAGAAGCTTCCGCACGGCTAAAGAAAACATCTGCAAAATGAAAAGGGAGCCAACCGTATGGGAAAATATATTTGCTAATGATACATCAGATAGAGGTTTGATCTCCAAGATATACAAAGAACTCACTCGACTCTACTCCAAGAAGACAAACGATCCAATCAAAAAATGGGCAAAGGACCTGGGCAGATGCTTTTCTAAGGAGGAGATACAGAGGGCCCAGAAGCATTTGAAAGAATGCTCGGCATCACGAGCCATCAGAGAAATGCAGATCAAAACCACCATGAGGTACCACCTCACACCGGTCAGAATGGCCGTCATAAACAGATCCACAAACAACAGGTGCTGGCGAGGCTGTGGAGAAAAAGGAACCCTAGTACACTGTTGGTGGGAATGCAGACTGGTGCAGCCACTATGGAAAGCAGTGTGGAATTTCCTCAGAAAGCTGAAAATGGAACTGCCTTTTCCCCTGCTGGGACTATACCCTGAGAACACCAAAACGCCAATACAAAAGAACCTATGCACTCCAATGTTCATAGCAGCACAATTTACAATAGCCAAGTGTTGGAAGCAACCTAAATGCCCATCAGTAGATGATTGGATCAAAAAGTGATGGTACATATACACAATGGAATACTACGCAGCAGAAAGAAAAAAAGAAGTACTAAACTTTGCGACAGCATGGATGGAACTGGAGAGCATCATGCTAAGCGAAATAAGCCAGGGGGCGAAAGACAAATACCATATGATCTCACCTATAAGCGGAACCTAACCAACAATGCAAAGAAGCAAGGAAAATATGACCAGCAACACTGAAAGGAAAAGAAATCAACAGAGACAAGAGGGAAGCGGGGGGCAGGGAAAGGGAAGGGAAGGGGAAAATCAAGGAACATATAGCAAGGACTCTGGACAAAACCGAAGGGGAAGAGCTGAGGGAGGGAAAGAGGGAGGGGGCAAGGGAAAGAGGTGGGGGGAAGGCAGAGACAAATGTATTTAAAAAGTAAATAAATTAATAAAAAAAAAAAAGAGTTCCTTGTCTCTTTGATTCATCACAGTGGCCCATTGCACATGATAAAAAGAGTGAATAAAATTTGAATGAGCGAAGGAAGAAATAGAGCAAGAAGGAAAGAAAGGAAAAAGGAAAGAGAGGGAAGACAGGGTGTTCAGAACATTATTGATGTACCATATATGAAAGTGGTCTGTAAACTAAATATTATCCACATTATTAAAAAAAATTATTACATACATTTGGTGCATTAATTACACCAGGGTGATCTTTTAAAAATGTTACTTCCCTGCATAAAACCATCCAATGTCTTTTCATACTACTTACCGTAAAAGTTGAACTCCTTTTCGCTCAGAGAGCCCTATGGGAGCTGACTCCGCGGGCCTCCTGCCCAGTCAGCCTTTGCTGCCCTGCTAGGCCCCCATCAGTCTGCTGTTCTTGTGATCCCTCTACCATGCCTGCTGTGAAGCCTTCGCTAGCCTCTTCCTCTCCCTGGAAGCTATCCTGCTGAATCTGAATAGCTCGCTCCTTGTCATTTGAATCTTAAGCTTAAATGTCACCTCAGAGAAGACTTCCTTGTGTGTGTACTGTAAAGGAGCCTTGCTGAACCCCCTTATAGTGTTCTATCAGTTAAAGGTCTGCTTATCTATTACTAATCTCCTTAATACCTGATGATTAAGTAGTTTCACATGATATTATATCTGTTTAAGATATTTTTCCAATTTTTATTTTGTTTATCTCCACAGGTTTATGTGCTCAAAACAAACACAAAACCCTATGGTTCCAAACTGAAATTTCCCTTTCCACCCCTCCATACCCAGCCCCTGAATACATTTTGAGAGAGGTATCTGGGCCCTGTGAATAAAAGCAACTGTGCCATTCACTTTTAGTATTGTGATTTAATTAAAGTGATGGGCAATCACTGATACAGTAATTATTCAGAAGTCTGACTAGAGGGATTGTTTGGAGACATGGAAATGGTGCTGTTGGGTGCCAAGCTGTTCTCGGTTCTAGGCTCGGAGGCCTCCTGGTTCAGGGCTGGGAATAGGCAGAGGGAAGCGAACGGCAGAAACACTCACTGGTTCCATTGGGTTTGTTTACTGTTTACTGTGGACCCCGGAGGAGCAGTACTTCTATAGAAAGAGCACTGGGCCAGGGCACAGGGGACACAGGTTCTCAGGCTGGCTCTACCTGCCCTATTTTCCCCTACCCTGGGCTGTTGGTCCCTCTGTTACATGAGGTAGAACTGGATCATCTTGAAGAGAAGTCCTAGACCTGACATTGTAGGGTTAATGAGAGGAGTCTGACCTTGCATCATGACCAAGACGTCTGTGAAAAGGATGGACCATGTAATATTTCTGATAAGCACAGCTTTTCTGGATTAAGTGGGATTTCTCTGACAGGTCTGTCACTGGACAAACCCAGATCTCTGCTTTAGCCGTTCATGTTTAGCTTTCTGTTTCCTTTGTTTTGCCAGGGAAACCGTTGCTCTCGGCAAGGCTCCTCATTGCCACACAGGGATCAACATCTCACTGTACATAAACTTCTTCAGCCACTCTCCAAGAGATGGGTTCCTACTGTATCTGATCTTGGCCAGCACTCTCCCATCTGCTTTCAACATGCTACATCTGACATTAACTAATGTCTCCTATTAGCATTAAAGAAAACAATCTGGAAAAATTCACTCTCTAGCAGAGTTCAAACAGGCCACAAGTAGATGTGGAATCTCAATTGCACAAGGCCTCTTAAAATATAGTAGTAAATAAATACATAAATATATTATATATAAATGCATATATATGTATGTGCATATATTGTGTGTATGCATACATGCCCATATAGAGGTGTGTGTAGGCAGTGGGTGGTGAAGCCAAAAGTCTGCAAAATGGGTCAAGAATGCTTCTGTCCAATTTATGAAATTAACTAGTAACAGAAGAAGAAAAATTCTCTCAGCATGGAACAAGGCACGATCAAAAGAACTGAATGACATGGGAAAAGAGCTGGGAATCTTTATCTCACACTTACTGGTAATGGGTTAAAATTCTGGTCCACGAGGTGATTGTATCCATGGTCAAAAAATGAGTGGCGTATCACAACATCAATGCCCTGATTGGCCAGCATTCCTAAAGTGTTCAACCATCTAAAAAGCAGGGGGAGAAAGCTACATCAATACATTTAAAAATGGCATATAATATGCTTTACAGAGACTGGCTAACACACTAACCCCCGCCACCAAATTTACCTCATACTTTAAAGGAGAAGATTATTTTAAGCATTGAATAAACAGCTGGAAGAGATTTTAGAGATTATCAAATCTAACCTCTCATTTTGTAGGAAAAGAAACAGAAGTCCAGGAGAATAAAATGAATTGCCCTTGATCATAAAATAGCTTGCTGATAATGACTTATATCTTATTTCTGTAATATTCAAAAATAAAATGAACACCCTAGCCACTTGTAAGCCTTATTATTGCCCCTGGCCATGGGATATACAATCACAGAAGCACACACATTATACACTTTGTCACTTAAACTGCTTACATTCTATCACTGTACATGTACCTTTCATCATGTGTCTCTAACTCAAACACTTCTATGACCTGTGCAAGAGTGGTCCAATCATTTGTATTGCTCATATATTGCCATCAGCAATCGATACAATAATAATTGTCCATGACACTGAAGCTAACTATACAGGGATTTGAGTAGGCTGCTATCACATATATGTCACTGTGGAGGACCTGCATTGCTCAAACACATTGTATACCCCATTATGCCAAATACCTACTTTCCAGGGCATGCCATCCTTCAAAAATACTGTTCTCTTGGTTCTTCCAACACCCATGCTAACTCCACCTTCATTATTTACAAATTCAGTTCATTCATTCATTCATAAATTCATTTACTTTTTCTCCTTGTATTCCTACTTTTGAAACTTAGGGAATTGTAATAATATATGTGTTAGAAGAACTTCAGTGTTCTCAGTAGAGAAGATAAGGCATTTCACAATCTTTCCTGAGCATATGTGTCTAGCTTCATCTTCACCTCTTCCTTCCCTTTTTCTCACCCTAAATTATATTCCCTAGGTTCTAAGCCACATAAAACTACTCTTGGCTGCCCTGATATACCATGCTTTCACATGTTTACTTGAGGCTTTATATATATTTTACCTTCTGCTCAGTATTCACTTTCTGTCTTCCTCTAATCTACCTCATCTAGCAAATTTCTCTCCATCTGTTAATCTCCAAGTTAACCATCACCTTCTTCTAACTTCTTCTGCCCCAGGCAACAGTAATACCTTCCTCCTCTGTACTTCATGAAACTCTTATTCATCCCTTTGCCAGCCTGTTAAATGATAATCAATTGCTTACTTCTCTGCTGTCTCCCAGTCGGTTATAAACTCATCAGGAACAGACATATGTCTTAGCTTTGTACCCAAAACATCCCACCACAGTTCCTAGTACACTATAGATGCTCAACCCTCTTTATTATGTTGAAATTGATCTGGATCAAATTAGATTCAAGGAACTTTAAGAATCACCATTCAGCATACTAGGGACAAATTATGCATAGTTATGATTTCCCCAAACTCAAACCATATGGAGCTCCAAACTAGTGACCTATAGAATTAAGATTTTCCCTTACTGCAATAAAGAACATTGCTAATTTTTATATTATAAATACCTATCATTAATATTTTCAAATATTTTTCACATTGAAAATTATTATTTTATTCTTATAAAAACTAGCAAAATATTTGCTTATAATTATAGTTACAAACATAAAACAAAACAAACCACAGAAATAAAAGTTTTAAATGAAAAAGAAAATGTAACAATAATATAATAGAACTTTTTCTGTTATTGTTCTGATTGGAAAGTTGCAATGTAGGGAATTAAAATTATTTTTGGAATATCACATGGTTAAGCTACTTGCTTTAAGATTTTTATTAATTTAGCAACCTTGTGCAATCAGGATAACAGGTTTAGCTTTTCCTTTGAGACACAGTATTAAATGTCTTGTGGTAGAACTGTAACATGAATTTTGGGCAGATACCTCCTAAAGTGTTCTTTGAATGAGAAAATAGCACAAATACAGTATAGTCTATATCTAACAAGTATTTACCTATAAAAAGAAGTGTGTCTTATTCTCCTTTTTATCTCTCTCCTTGTTGGAAGAATGAAAAAACAGAATGATGAGTAAATATGTAATCACATGTATGTGAGTCCCTTTACAGCATCTGGTCAAAACGAGACCATATTTTGGTATTTTTATATATAAAAAACCCCTGCTTATTCATTTATTCTTTGTTCAAGAGTATTAATCAATCAACTGTAAATGCTAGGCCTTGTTCTCAGCATTGGGGACAGGTTAAAAAAAATGCTTGTGTGACCACGTAAGTCATTTATAAAATGTTCCAGGTATGTAAATAGCCTGTATATATATATATACACATTTATAGGAATGGTACCAAGTTACTATTTGTCACCTCTGCAGAGCCTAGCACAATCATCTGTAAAGACTGTGTGTGTGTGTGTGTATGTGTGTGCGTGTGTACATATATAATTAATTAACAAATAAATGTTAATTAGTAAATCTGCTATTTTTGCTAGTATATAGGGAGTTTTTTAAGGAACTCTAACATGAAAGGGAAGTATATGCTTCTTCCTCTCTGAACCCACATCCTATATGGTATGCACATCTTTGCAGTGTGCAAAAATGACTATGACCAGAACTCCTGCTTCCCCAGGCTTTTCAGAATGGATGGTTAGTAGTGAAGTTATTGTCATCTTCCTGTAATAACAAGCCCTGAGAAGGAGAAATGAATGATATTCCAAGTCTCCCTTTTCTGCTCAAGCAGAGAAGGTGGTAAGCTGGTTGAAATCTTCCACCAAGGTTGCTACCATATCTATTATTTTCCATTCCCTCAAAGTGTACTGAATATCTGCAATGTGCCAGGTACTACTAGAAGCTGGAGGCATAGTAGTATGCCAAGGGTATATTGAAGTGCACCAAAGAATTGCAAAGTGCTGATGGGAAAATTACCCTGGAATACTTGGCTGTAAAGAATTCTGATTCATGATTTCATGGGTATGTGTACTAGTAAGCTCATAGTTATGCCATATATTGAAAAAAGGCTAAAAAATGCCTTCTTTCCAATTTCTTGCTTTCTGGAACTTCCTATCATACTTTACTTTTTTTTTCCTAGGAAGCAATGTATGGCCCTTGAAGACAAGTGAACTCAAAGGGCACAATGCTGGATAGCTGCCGGTGGAGTTAAGAGCAAATGGGTGATAATAACATAAGAAAGAAGACCAGGAGCAGAATAAACTACTTTTCACATGATCTGTGCCAACTAAGCAATGGGTATCTGACTTAAAACTAAAATCTAAACAACTATACTCATCTGTGTTCTGCAAAATGATGAGAGGTCTACAGATATTTGGCCTCATGGTGCTCATGAGAAAACAGGTGTCTCTCTAGCTCCCTCCATGAAGGTCTGTGGTATTTCTCTTTTCACATCACCCCCCAAATGGGACAATGCTCATAAAAACACTCAGTGCAACTGGGTTGCTTGCTGGGCCCTGCAGCAGAGATCTTTTGCAGTAGCTATGTGAAAGCCATTCCACTGCGGTAACCTTTGTCCCCGGGGCTCCCAGGGAAACCCAGTGGGAGTGTATTTTGGAAAAAAGACTGTCAGTAACAGGGTAGCAAATGATGACTCACTCCATTTCATTCATCTGAACCACGCTCCTTAACAACTGCTCTGTGCCACTCAATGTTAGAGGCCAAGGACACATGGATGGAAGACCCAAGGTATCACAGTGTATTAACAGCATTGACTCATTATCTTCATCTGCACTTGTGGGATTTCACCGTAAAGGCAATCTACTTGACTGGCCTGATTTGTTCTCCACAAAGATATCAAAGAAGCTTCTTAGGAGGATCTTGCTCAGTCAAAAAGCCAGGATCTTGGGACTAGACTAGACCAGGTTAATTTGTGGTCCTGAGTGGTTTGTCCTTGCTATATAACACTGACAGGACAGTCAGAAGCCCTTATTCTTCTGGCTTAAATTGTTCTTCAGACAACTGCAGTAGCCTTCAAATTCATTTTCCCATCTCTTGCCTCTCCAAACTCTTGAGTGTACTGTTGCCAAAGCCAACATTTTAAAATACAGGTCAGATGGTTTCTCGTAGCCATCCCTCTAGCCCCCTCCCCACCCCCCTGGAATCTTCACTGGCTTGCCACTGAGTACAGAACAAGGCTGCATTTCCTCTGCTGGGTTTTTAAAGCCCTCCATGATTTGATGGTAGACCTCCTCCCTAGTCTCAGCCCTTCTCCATCCCTGCAGATGCTGAGGCTTTGGTCACACTCATCCTTCTCCCTCCCCCATTCCTTCAGTTGAGAATGCTCCCCGTGCCATCTCCACCATCTCCACCAACAGCAAGTGGAGTAATCGCTCTAGGTCCCACCCAAATGCCACTCTTTCCATGAAGCATTTCCTGATCCTCTCAGTGAGAGAATTCTTGATTCCTTGCATGTCTACCACTTTTCCTGTATAGACAGACCCTGTGAAGCAGAAAGAAAGGTAGTCTGATGTAGTGGCAAGGAGGCTGGACTCTGGAACCTGCTGCCTGGGCTCCAGTCCAGTCTCTGCAACTAACTAATAATAGCATCTATTTCACTGGCTTGTTATAAAGTAATAGTATCTGTTTTGCTGGTTGTTAAATTCTTAATTACATATAAAGCACTATAGATGGTGCTTGGCACATAGAAAGCACTATAGAGTTAAAACTATTATCATTGTGGCATTTATCTTCTCTGACTTTACTTATTTACCTTGTCTCCCTTCCTCCAATGTTAAGATTTTGGAGGGCAAAAACCCTGTGTTATCCTTACCTAGCCTATCTCCCATGATTGTGGTGAAAATTAGATGAGAAAATGTATGTTGTCAGCACTACAGTTTGCACTGGTGACATTAAATAAACTTCTTATTACTTTTATGACTATTGCTGCTATTATCTTGTTCTGATGCCTGTGTCTGACATTTTAGTATCTAAAAAAGTCCCTAATCACTGTCTTTTTAATGGTAAAATGCATTCACAAATAAATGGATGAAGAATTTTCAACAAGAAATGGACTCCCCCCTCTCATGGGCCGAATACTTAGCAACTGCCCAGTTTCACTGTCCTTTCCTCAAAGCGCCTGGGAATAAACTTTCAAGTGTTACTCACAGGAATCCTGCAGCGTAGGAATCTGAGAGGTTGTTTGTGCCTCCAGCTGAGGTGGTTACCACACCTTCAAGCCAAATCTTCTTTCCTGGGGTGTATGTATTAACCACCTGTTCACACATCAAGAGCAGAAGGGGAGAGTGAGATATTTAAAAAGCTATTCCAAAAATAAGAAAAAAACACCTATTTCCTTAAGGAAATTCCTCCAATCCCTTGCTCCCAGGTGGTAATGACCTGTGCTTTTTTTATGTTGATGCAACCCACACACCAGCATTAATATTAATATATATTCTTTCAAAAAAATAACCATTTTTTCCAAAGTAAATTCAATGTGACAAGAGAACAAGTGCATATTCCAGGACACAAACTGCAAGCAATACCCTTCACAGGAAAATATAATTCTATGATATTTCCACATTAAAAAGCAAGGAGAAGCAAATTTTATTAATACCCTGTTACAGTACACGGTCCTGGATGAGTGCACCATCCATGCATTGGAAGTCATGAATCATGAGAGAGGATGGAGGTCAGTTTTGGGGAAAAGTATTTTATAATTATGAGGGCATATATACATATTGCAACCACACTTTGAAATAGCTGCAGCAAATATAAAAAGAAAATTCACCGTTCCCCAGTGAAAGGTCCTATACAGGGAGCAGTCTCCTAAGTAAAGGCAAAGCCTCTTGTCAAAGGTGGCCTTCTGGAGTTTGAAATGGCCCAGTTTCTTCTGACCCACAAGCTGGAGATTGGTCAAACTATCCCAGTCAGAGCTGAGATCCTTTGGAAAGCAATCTGGCAGTACTTAGGGATAATGTCGTACACTGCGTAAGCTCTGGAAGCAGAGCCTGAGACAAAGACCTGTATATAGGTAGTTCATTTGGGAAGTAATAACGGCAGGAATGAGGAACTCGGGGACTGAAATAGGGAAGAAGGGAAAACTAGCACAGGAAGTATTTTTAAGGTGGCATCAAATGCTGGCAACTTGTACTCAATCCCACAAGGATCTTGGTAAGAGCCTTATGAACTGTGTCTCAAAACTGTCACCTAAAAGGGAACAAGGGGAAGTATTTATCCCTTGGCTTGTATTCTCCAAAGGTCAAGAGCAGCCTTGTGACTGTCAACCCCCTCTCCCCATGACCCCATTTCATTGTGCAGGCATGAGAGCTGAGCAGGTTCCCTGTGTTCCATATCTTTGCCTTAAAGAAGTCCCCACACAGGAAATGTAGGGTGAGGCCCTACTCTACCACATCAGCACCACGCTGGTTGCAGCCTGTGCACCTGCTTAGTTCTGGTCTTGGCAGAGATGGCTAGAGCAGCAGGTGGGACTGCAGGGAATTTGGTAATGCACAAGAGGCACTGGATAAATACAATAATGTATTTAGGTAGGTCCTATGGCCCACCAATTCTTCTGTACGTATAGACCAAATCAATTTTCCCTTAGGTCTCTAAGGAGACAAGTATTAGAATGTTGACTATGTCACTGTTTGTAGCAGATGCCCATTGCTAGAGGAACAAAAGTGAAATGTGGTGGATATATACTACCACAGCAATACATTCAACGTAAAGCCAGTAACATGAACAGGTTTTGAAGGTTTAGTGGTAAGTTAAAAAATAGCAATGGGATAAGATTTATGGCACAATATTGTTTATATAATTACTCATTCACATCCAATACCACTAAATAATACAAAAAGATATGTCTCTTAAAGACATATCAAACACATAAGGAAGACATGTATTTGAGGGAGGTATGCGTGAGTGGGGATTAGAAATGAAGGTGAAAATGAAAACAAAGTAGGTCTTTGCATGAACTGATAATAACTTGCTGTATTTCAGGAATATGATTTTAATTAATTCTCTGCACCTCAGATACAAAAATATGAGTCTATATGGTGTAGCATATATGTCAGAACTTTCCTTTTCCCAAACCCATGGGCAGACACCAGCAGATTACTTATTTTATTTCTTCCGAGGTATAGCTCCTGCCCTTTCTGCCATCTACTAGAGAATTTTTGTTATATGAGACCTATTTTAAAATAAGATTTGGCAAATTGCTTGACTCTTTTGGGAATAACAGTATAAAAATATTTCAAAAATTTCAGATGAAATTAAGATAGTAATCAAGAATGGGAGAAAAACCCTGGGAACTAATAGTGGAGGTCAAATGATAATGTTGCTAGAGATTAAATAAGAGTTCCCCTTGCACCCAGAAGGAGAAGAGTCATTGAGGACACCACAGGTAGTACTGTCTGCACTCTCAACACTACTCACAGTGCCTAACCCAAGCGGAATTGAAAATAGTATAACTAAGAAAGCCAGAAAAACACCTTAAATAATCAGAAGACAGAGCCAAAGGGTGAAATTAAAGGACTACATCAATGTTTCCCCTTAAAATACACCTGTGCTAGGAGAATACCTGTGCTCTCGATGAACTTTGTACTTCTTTTATGACTAACTAGAGCTTAGTAACATAATGGTGTTTTTCATTTTGTCTTTGGCTTCTAGGATATTCAGAATTTAATTTTTGCTCAAAGACAGATATTGAAATGAGGCAGTTAGAGAAGGGGGTTGGTTAAACAAAACAAAACATAAAGGTAAATACTACAGTATGATGAACCTTGAAATCATTAAACTAAGTGAAAGAAGCCAGACAAAAAAGGGCACATATATGATTCCAATGTATGAAATACCCAGAATAGACAAGTCTGTAGAGACAGAAAGCAGATGAGTGATTCCTTGATTTCCTTGGGCTGGAGAAGGAGAGGGAGAAGTAGAGAGGCAAGAGGACAGGGAGTGACTACAAATAGGTGTGAGGTTTCTTTTGGGGAGGATGAACATGTTCTAAAATTAAATAGTGGTGATGGTTTCACAATTCTGTGAATATAGTAAAAGTCACTGAATTGCATACTTTTAAAGGGTGAATCTTATGGTATGTGAATTATATCTCAATAAAGTTGTGTGTGTGCTTTTTTTGATATTTAAATTACCTAATAATTATGAAACATTTGGAAAAGTATCTGGTTTACAGTAAGCTCTTGAAGTGCAAATCAAAATTACCTAGACCAAGGTTCTTCAACCTTGAGGTCACAGAGCAGTGCTGGTCCAGGCCTGTTAGGAACCAGGCCACACAGCAAGAGGTGAGCTTGCAGGTAACGTGCTTGAATCATCTAGGCACCATCCTGCCCACCTCAGTCCGTGGAAAAATTGTCTGCCACAAAACAGTCCATGGTGCCAAAAAGGTTGGAGACTGTTGACCTAGATCACTCTCCTTATCCAAAGTAAACATGATAATATTTGGATCAATCTAACATTAAAACTGGTTGCTTTTCTTATGGACACAACGCTTGTAGAGGTAGGTAACAGGCCAGATATATGCTAAGTAGCAGAGGAAGGCCTGTTTAAAATTTAAAATGTACATTAACATAATTAGCATTCAGAGAAGTTCATTTATCCACTCTCAGCACAAGAGCAACTCCTGTCTTTTTAAAGAGAAGTCACACAAACAAAAAAAACACACAGTGAGGTAGAACTTTGAAAGAAAACCTAAATGAGTTATATGAAATGTTTTGTGGAAAAGAGATTCCTAGAAAGTACTCATGTTCAAGATTCTGCAAGTAGGTATGGATCAGCAAGGACTTTCTGAGCATTTACTCTTTGTAACAAGACGAGAGTCTTGGTGAGCAGCATGTCTACCATGAGCAAAGACCATGACGATGACATGGTGGCAAGGTGCTGAGGCTGGGTGCTGGTTGGGCTGGGGGTGGGGGGAAAATCCGTATGGGCAGGATAGGAGAGAAAAAAAATCAGGAAAACCAGATTAAACCACCTGCAAAATTCCCTTAGAAAGTGAAACTCTAAGAAACTGAGGGCTATAGTTCAACCCTGTGGTTTTCTGCATAAATATGATTCTCCCTGTGCTGGAAGAGAGAAAATTGCAGGACTGGAAAAAACGAGGGTACGTTCCTGGTGAGAAATGACGTGCCAATGAAGGTTATTTTAAGGAACACCCTGTCTGAGGAGGGAGAAAACTACAAATGCTGAGATTACTGATAGAAGGGTAGAGGGAGGTCCAGTGGCTGGCTCTCTTTCAGCAGCCTTTTATTCCTAAATAGACTTCAGCCATCGGGCACACGCAGACAAGGGAGTTTTGAAGCACCCACACTGATCAGAATCCTTGGGCCTGCAGTGTGCAGCGTGGTGTGAAGGGAAGCCCAGCTCCCTGCCCTCACATTTCGGGGTTGAGGGAGTCAGGACTATTTCATGTGGCTATGCTGAAGGAGGAGGGGTGAGAATGGAAGAGAGAGGTTAGGAAAAACAGCAATAATTTTTTTAAAGTTTTATTTTCTCTACCACTTTGAATTTTTTTAAAAGAAAAAACAGTAAAAATAGAAAAATAACCATTTAAATGGCACGTTTTCAAAACTGGACTTTCTTTTCCTGTTTCTCCAAAACTGTGACCTAAGTCTTTAAAAAAGGCTCCTGAGAGCCTGGTCTCAGCCACTGGCTGTGCAAGAGATGGTAGCCTTGTTGCAGCAGACTTGTTGTTTATGGTTATCCAAACCCAACACCTTCCTTAATGAGAAAGGAAGCAATAAAACAGGAAGAGTGGACAGGCCAGCTGGGCTAATCAGCCCTGGCAGGAGGCCCACCTCCAAAAGAAGCTGGAGTCCATTATTTCCAGCATCTCATCTACTTAGAAATCAACCTTACCCAGGACCTCAGGAAGAGTAGTAGCCCTTTAAGAAACTAGAATTGGTCCCCTGTATCATCGGTTCAAAGCTTTAGGAAGCTTCTTAAACCTTATTTATGCACAGAGTGTCTCTGCCTCTCTGTTCTGTATTATGTTTATAAGAGGTCCTGGTCTGGTAATGTTCCTATGTTTATTTTCATCCTTCTTGCGTGTTTTTGGCTCTAACCTACCTTCCATATTAGAACAACAAGGGATCATTCCATTCTGCCATCTCCTTCCCCACAGCCCCTTTGCTGAGTGTTAGATCTTCCCATTTTTCCCTTGGTCTTCCTGCCAAGTCCATCCTCCTCTAGTCCACCCTCCACACTGCTGTGTGTGGTCACAGAGGTGTGTGTGGCCACAGGGAGAGGTCTGTGTGAT